GTAGTGCAAAGAGATAGGAACAAAGGGAGTAAAATCCCTCCCCAGAGGGCCAGAAGGAGCTGCATCAGGGAAGGCAAAATTGATGCAGTGAGCCTTTGAACAGAGAGTTTGGTCCTTGCTGACTGACAGAAAAACCAGCAGAGCCTCAGCCCCAGGCTGGCAACCCAGGGGAGCCAGGAGGGCATCTCTGGCCTTTGGGATCTGTTTCTATTCAGCTTGATCCACTACATTTTCTTGCTCCCTTCTTTTCATCCCATCTTTCTACTTTCATAGTTTTACCTTTTTTACAGTTTTTAAATGAGTTATCTACAGGTATTCACTTTGCTAACCCTCTAAATAACCAAGCAAATGCTTGGTTATTAGCTCCAAGCAAGTGGAGGGGAAGGGAGCCTAAGTAGCCCTGTACTTTGTGGCTTGGAATGTGAGTGGTGGAGTCACCCGCCCTTGGGGCCATGGAATGGGCATGTTCTTGTCACTGCTGATCCTTCTGCACCACTGTTGTCTTGGGTTAAATAAGGAACAAGGTTAAGGTTTTACTGGGGACAGTGCCTTGGGGAAGAAGGAAAACAAATGCATTGGGATGAAAGATGTGCCACTGTTATGTGCAGAGGGAGGGCAGTAATAACCTTCTCTAGTTTTACTAACAGAGCCACTCTAGGTACTGCACGTTGGGTTTTTTCAGCTAAGCCCAGATGCAAATGACTGTATTGCTTGTCTTGGCCTGCCAGAGGTCAAGGCTGGTATTTCCAGCTAATTCAGTGCATTTGTGTAAAGCAGGAATTAATGAAGCAGCAAAAAATTGCAGAGTTCACTTGGTGGTCCCTTTCCTGATGCTGCTCCTCTTGTGCTCTTTGCAGAGTGTTGTTCCAGGGCAGTTCAGACCAACCTGAGTGTGGTGGCCTTGTCCTGGTCATGTCCTCCCACCCTCTTTGGAGCGTTCATACTGGAGTTTATGTGATCCCACAGCAGCATGGAGGAAATGAGCCTGGAGTTTTGGGTCACTGCTGGCTGAGTGGCTTCATGTTTGGTCTCATCAGCACCACTTCAGACACAAGGGAGCTGACAGGCAGCTTTTTCCAAAATCAAGCCCAGTAGATCACTTCACAGATCTGCTTGTGCTGCTGTACACCTTTGTCCTTGCCCTGGGAGAGGAGAGGCTTGGCAAGCTGTTCTCCTGTGTTTCTAAATGTGGTTTTAAACTGCAGTCGAGGGACTGGCTAGCATTGCCTTAGGCTTCTGTTTGACTCTGTAGAGGACCAAGTGTGCTAGAGAAGGGAAAGGACAAAGGACATGTACAAGGGAGCAGAAGTGCAAACTGAAGCCTTTGAAAAGCTGGAAGTGATGCTTAGCCACAGCCATGCACAGCATGGGCCTGGTGCCTACTGCTCCTGGAGGCCTTGGGCAGATGTTGGCAATAGAGCACTCAGAAATTATCTTGGCTGCTTCACACTCTGTCTTACAGCTGGAGACAGAGAGCTCCTGGTGACAGGAGCTTTTGGAAGAAGAAAGAGGCCATTAAAATGCTCAAAGAGCAGCCAGTTTAACTCCCTAGGAAGAGCATCCCTTTTTTTTTTATTTTTGCAGTGCTGGTCTTGCAACACACTTACACACACGAGGAATCATTTTCTTCCTACGCTCTGCAGAAAGCCAAACCACCTCTTCCTCACTGACATGTGCCAATACCCATCTCCTGGTTTTTCCCCTCCTCCCTGTGCCTCACACATGTCCCAGCCCTTCCTGGGGCTCTCACCCACGCACGCTGCAGGCCTCTGCTGTCACCACATCGGATGAGCTCTTTCCTCGGCGCACGAGCGGGGAGGTGGCCTTTTGTGCAGCTGTGGGTCTGCTTGAGTAGGTTTTTCAATTCCACTTTTTGTAATGTGTCTCAGACAAGCTGGCCACACTTCCTGGAGTTAATCAGTCTGTGACAGCAGCAGGATTTATCATATGCAAACAGCACAAAAACACTGTAGGATGAATAGATGAGCACACAGGTAGTCGTGAGCTTGGTAGCAGAGGAGGGGAAGATGCTCAGTGAGAGGTAAGAGGAGGAGGACAGCAATAGGCAATCCAAAGAGGATAACCAAGCTCTGGAAAAGGTACAGGGAGAACTCTTTTGTTCAGAGCACTGAGGTGGGTGGGAGAAGAAGCAGATGAAAACATGCAAAGAAAAGCAGGGCTTGGAAAAGAGATGTTGTACCAGTATAAGAGCTTTGCAAGAGCCACTGAAGTTAACAGCACAGGCCTTGTGTGAGAGATTAAAGATGATCCTAATTCACTCTATGATGACACAAAATCAAGACTTTTCTCCCACACTTCCTGGAACATCTTTCTGAGGCTGAGCTGAGCTCCTGTGCTGGAACCTGACAGATTTGGGGGCTGTCTGTGGAAGAGAGGATGTCACTCTGCCACTTTCCTGCCACTGTCTCCCTATCATCCTAGCCTTATGTTCTCTGGGATGTTTATTTGGTGTTTCTGTAGTCAGTGTTATTTCAGAGTGTCTTAGGAAATCTTTAGCACCTTTGGTTACTTTAACAGAGTAACTCTGGGAACAAGGTAGAGTGATGGTTTCCCACAGGAGAGCTATGTACTGTATGTCAGTACAGCAGGCTCACCCATCCAAAAACCTTTGTGTTTCAGGAGACCTCATTTAACAGGAGGCCACCAAAGGAATAGCTGTTGGTGGCCCTGGGTGGGAGCAGCTGACCAAAGTCCTGGTTCCAAACTCCAGAGCTGAGGTGGCACAGGCCTCTGAGTGCCACAAGCCCTGCCTGAGGGGGCTGCTGGCTCCCCCAGGGTGGGAGAGGATGGGCTGACTCATGTCAGGAGGTCCAGGAAGGTGCCCTTTGCTCCCACACTGTGGGGTTTGGCGGGGATCTGGTAAGCCATTGGGAAATCCTTTTATTGTTTCCCTCTGACCTGCTGAACCTCCCGGCAAGATGATTCATTTGCAGCAAAGGATATGCCCCTTTGCTGGAAGTGCCCCTCCTCAGCTCCACGGATGCTGAGCAGCCTGGAGCATGCCTGTTTTACCCAGCCTTAATGAAAGTTTTCTTTTCCAAGAAAAGCTGGTAGTGAGGAGATATTTCCTGACTTGATCCACAAATGTTTTCTCCTGTACTCTCCTCCCCAGATGCTTGGTTGCTCTTATGGCAGTTCACCCCTGCTGCTTGCTGGAGGGACACCTTCCCAACTAGCTCCCATGAGCAAGAAGATAAGAAGAATTAAGGGTTCTGGGAAGCTCAGTGTTTCTCTCTGACTGACTGGAATATCTCTCTTTCACCTCTTTCCTTCTGTTCCAGTCAAGCTTAGGAAGTGCAGGCTTGTTCTCTTTCACCCAGCTCTTTTTGTGGGACTTTTTGCTGCCTCGGGGTTGCACTGTGTCTGTGTCACTGATAGGATTTGGTTGTCAGGAGTGCTAACCCAAATAAACTCAGTGTCACCTCAGCCCCAGATGAGAATGTGAAGGTTGTTGGGTCACTTGGCATGGAATGGCTGAGCTTTCTGCTCGGTTTTTGGGGAGATGTGCTGGGCTGGGGCCCTGGTTCATCTCACACACTGCCAGTGCCTGGCAGAGGCAGACAGAAGGTCAGGTCAGGACTGTGCCCTGTCAGTGCCAGGCAGGGAAAGGACAGTGCCACATCCTGCTGGGTAGCAGAGATGAGTAAGCTGTGAGAACATCTTTACACCTACAAACAATGAGCAGAGGTTGAGCTGGCAGCAAGCAGCTATTCTCATTGCTCCAGAGGAGCTGAGCTGATTTGCAGTGTAATTAATATGCATCAGATCTAGAAACCTGAGATCAGGGGTTTGGCTTGCTCAGAAAATATCTTTCCCTGCTTATTATTATTGCTCCCAAATGAAATTCTTTGCAGGAGTGGAGAGTGTTCTTGTGCTACTGACAACATACCTCATCCTGTTTGTTTATTTATTTTCAAAGCTCAGTGTTTCTAGTTTCCTGTCTGGGGCTTGCTCTCCCAGGCAGGAGGGGAAGGTGTGCTCAAGTGTCCATCAGCAGCAAAGGCATTAGTGCAGGCAGGAGTTCTCTCCAAAAGCACTAAGAAGAAGCCAGGATGATCACACCCACCTAAAAATAAACACGAACATATGTACAGGCCTTTGTGAGCTGAATCACTGCTGGATGCCAGATCTCCCCAGAGTCCTGCCCAGAGATGGTGCAGCAGTCTGCCAGGGAGCAGCCTTGCTTTCTGCAGCTCTGCGAAAGGTGCAGCTTTTGCTCACAGATTTAGAGGACCTTTGTGTAATGGAAGGCAGCACCAAGATGAGCTGCTGACACTGCTCCACGTGCTTTTGCAGGTAGCTGTGGTGCTCTTGTAGCTGCAGATGGGAAAATGCAGGCTCCTAGTTCCTGTCAGGAAGTGTAGAGTGCTGTGGGACAGACCATGGAAAGAAGAATTATGTCTGCAAGGGCATTTCTTTGTCGTGTGTTCCTTGCCATGATGCCTGCTAGGCTCAGGACTGATGTGGTTTGTTTTAATTTTGGAGAGCTGAGATGGGAAGAATGGTAGGCAGGAGGAGAGGCAGCGTGGGCGTTTGCACTCCCACACCCTCGGCAGGGAATGTGTTCAGGGTTTGTTAAGTCACGCAACAAACAGAACCCAGGGACATCACCTGAGAAATGGAGGCATCACTTCTGGTGTGGGTGACCTGGCCTTGCCCGGGGGAGCTGCTCCCGTGGTGCTGCCCCAGGAGACCCTTCTGTGTGTGTGTCAGTGTGGGGGTCCCGGCCATGGGGCAGGGCAGCGGGGACTCGGGTCAGTGCTGAGCCTGGGGCTGAGCAAGGCTGGCAGTGAGGCAGCTGGGGAGGTGCTGGTTAGCCCTGGACAGGGTTAGCAGAACCCTCCTGTCTCCAGCCACAGCACTGTCTCGGCAGATGTGGGATGTCTGATATGTCACTTAGGGATGGCAGAGGAGCATCCTCTTGGCTGGAATAACAAAGGAAGTACAGGTCAGGAAAGAGTTCCTTAGCTTACCTTAGCACATGTGGGGAAGCTGATGGTTGCTGCTTGTGCTGGCTGTGAAGTGAGGCAACACTGACAGTTATACATATTGGTGGAAATAGAACTTGCCTGGAGCTGAATGCCCTGACGTCTGCTTGAAAATCAGTGGGCAGTGTCTGTTCCAGGTGTGCACTGAGTCCTGCTGATCCTGACAGCACAGTGGAGGACCTGAGCACAAGCAGGGCATAAAACTCCTGTCGTGGTCACTGGAAGGAGCACACAGCCACCTGTCCATGTGCCAGCATTCCAGGCTTTTGGGCTTTCAGCTATGGAGTTGTCTGTCCCGCCCCTCCCCCATGAGGGAATTAGGCAAGCAGTGGTTCTGCTTACCAATGTGTGCCCCTTCTTTAGGAGGCTGTTAATGTCCGTGGAACTAGAAGCAGGATTAAAGGCATCAGAGCTGTGCAGCTTCTTCTCATCTTCTAGGTTTGGGGAATCTTTATATAATATATAAAGAAGATTCTAATAGGCACACGAATAGACAGATGGTGAGGGTGCATCCAGGTGGTCCTTTTAAAGCACAGGCTGATAAGGAACTCCTGAGAAGTTTGCCAGATATGCATGTTCAGGAATTGTCCCTTAACAGCACTTGTAATGAAGAAGCAGCCGCGGCGATTAGCTGTTAATGTTGACAAAGTCGTTCTGTGGATGGGAAGGGAAGGGGTCCAAGAGAGCTTTGCTGTCCCTGCTGGGGTGGCTGAGGCTGATGCAGAGGCTGGGAAGTGACTGAGAGAAGTGGCTCTGGGAGAAGCGGTGTGTGCTGCTCTCTGCTGGCTCGGGAGGGGACGATCCACTGCCGGGGATTCAGGGACTCACAGCAAACTGCACTTGGGCTCAGGGACAGGTGATGGAGAGAAGCCCGAAGTCTGACCCAGCACCAGGCAGGGGAGAAGATGCATGGTTCTTTCTGCCTCTGGGAGAGAGGCTGCAGCAGGGAGCAGAGTAGACAGCAAGGAGTATTTAACAGGCTTTTTCATTTTTCTGAATTAGACAAATGTACTGAATTTGCTCTGGTAGGAGTTGAGTTTAAGGACTGTGTTGCCCCGGTGTCAAATCTGGAGCTCGTTTTGCACTGAAACGTTTTTCTGTTTTTTTCCCCAGCACCGGCAGCTGCTGAAGGACAGTTTCATGGTGGAGCTGGTGGAAGGGGCTCGCAAGCTACGCCATGTTTTTCTTTTCACTGACCTCTTCCTGTGTGCCAAGCTCAAGAAGCAGATTGGAGGGTGAGAGTTTCCTTTTGGACTTTATGCTTTGCACCTCGCCTGCAACAGAATCCTGGGTTTACCCTGCAGTTTTAGTTGCATATGGATACCCCAGACCTGGGTAACCATAATCCATAAGAAGTAGTTAGATAAGAAATGATCAGCAAGATAGGAATGTTTACTGTATGAGATCCTGTCTAATTACCTTCCTGACCCCTCAGGAAAGGTAATTCCTCCCATCCCTGCCCTACCTAGGAGAGCAGGATATGTTGTAGCTGCTGGTATTCTGGAAAAATGTCATTAATTTTTCTATTTCCCCTTTCTTTTAATAGGTGACATTCTTCACTTTTTTATGACTAGGGTTGTTAATTTTGGCTTTGTAGCTACAGCCTGTTAACAGTTTCACAGAAAAATGGCAAAGGGGCAGTAAACAGACTATGTGTCAACCCCAAAGTGCAGCTATAAAAGCAGTTTTGCTGACAATTTTCACATGTGAAGGGGGAGGAACCATTACGAATATACTTCCCTCAAATAGGGCTTCTCTTCATTTGGTAAATATTCTTCTTGGGGAGACATCTCTTGTATTCTTGCCCTCCTCAAGAAAAAAAGTTACACCTGCTCTTTTCAAAGCACGTGCTTCTGAGGAATGAACATTCAAAGGAATGGGACATTCCCAAGAGTGGATGTTCCTGACAGCATGGGTGAAGGGGGAGTAAATGACATGAAACATGTAAAAAGTGAGTTGCTTATCCTGGTGAAATCCCTGGAGAATGGCAGCTATGAGCTGTAGTTTTTCTCCTCTGGTTGGATTACATGGAGGTTTATATCCATTCGTTCACCTGCCCCACCTTGGCCCCAGCTTGGGCAGGAGAGAGCTGGGTTCAGATCCCAGGGCCCAGCAGGTCACAGGCGTGGCACAGCTTTAGAACTTCACCACACCAGAGGCTTCAAAGAGAGAGCACGCAGGACCAAAATTGTCTGCAGGAGATGGATGTGGTTTCTTAGGATGAAAAGAAATAGATAACAAAATGAGTTGCCTTTTTATGTGCTGTACCAGCTACTGGCCCTGCTAGGCTGTCTTGCTGAAAAGCAGCCTGTTGCCAGACTTTTTCCATATGGGAATCACAGTAAAGCTGGGCCAGTATTTGTCTTCTGCATTATAGCAGGGAAGAGCTTGTGGGAAGGACTGGGTGTTGCCAAACACCAGTAGTAGTAAAAGGTTTGGACCTACTCCCTTTCAGAAAAAGCCAACAATATGACTGCAAGTGGTACATCCCGCTCACTGACCTCAGTTTCCAAATGGTTGATGAGTCTGAGGCAGTGCCCAATATCCCACTGGTACCTGATGAGGAGCTGGATGCCATGAAGATCAAGATATCCCAGATCAAGAATGACATCCAGCGGGAAAAGGTAAAGGAGTTGAGCACTCCAGGGCAATGCAGACACAGAGTCTGTGCTCAATTGAGGTGCTGGTGGCAGCTCTCCCAGGGCTGCACAGTGTGGGGAGCAGGCTGCAACAGACTGTTCAGCAGGGGTTTGTGATGGCCAGGTGCTTTGCTCATCCAAGTGCACAGCCTGGGTGATGCTGCCCCGTGAGGAGGCAGAAACAAAGACCCTGTGGTTGTACCCAGCAGCTCCTCTATTCCTATGAGCATCCGTGTGGAGGGCAGGGATCTTATACTGAAGACATGAAAAGGGCTGGGAGTGTTATTTGCCAATTTCTGGCTGTTAAATTATGATCCTGCCAGTGATTTTGGTCAGAAGCCATATACTCTTGAATTTTAGCAGATTCAGTTATGCCTTTGAAGCTTTTTCCTACTTCACTGATGTCAAAGCAGCAGCAAATGTATAGAAAACAGCAATTATGCTGACAGTCAGACCTGGACATGGTGCCTCTGTCTCAGGCTTCTCTTTGCTTGCAAGTTATGTTTTTTGAGAGCTGTTAGAACCCAAACCTTCCTGGAGCCTAAAAGAGGAATAAGAATATGAACACTGGTGGTGTGTAGGGCGGGATATGAATAACATTGATCCTGCTGTGGAAAGGTTATTCCCTGCACTTCTAAAGAACATGCTTCTGCCTCTCAGCCCTGGCTAGCTTTCAAAGAGGGCTTTCTGTAAAAAGTATTAGGAAGAACACTTTGTGGAAGCCATTTACTCACCAGCTGCAGGTGTCTGAGATTCATGCTTTGGTGTATAAGTGCTAAACAATACACGTGGCTGGCTTTGGTACTGGATTTTATCCAGGAAAAAACGTGTTTTTAGCAGACCTCGAATGAAAATGGATCAGCGAGGGGTGAGTGGGAGAGTTCTGGGATCCCTCTACAGAAGTTCCTTAGAGTCTCCTTAGTTAAGGACACTTGGAGGACCTGGCGGTGCTATAGCTGCCTGGTGACATGATGGTACTGCAGCCTCTGGAGAACAGAAAATACAGGGTACAGCTGGGACAGTGGCCACACACCTCTGCACTTCAGCTGGGACAGCTGGAAACAGGGAACAGAGCCCAGTCCATGTGTAGAGATTCTGCAGATAATGCCTTTCTGAGCAGCTGGGAGTCCTGTGGATCCTATTGACAGCATTTCTTCTGCTCTAGGGCCGTTTACCTACTCAGAGGGTAGAGACTGTGGATTTCAAAATAGCAGGAAGTGTAAATGAGGGCAGATTTGGAGAATAACACGTCCTCTTCTCCCTCTCTCCCACACCCTTCAGAGAGCCAATAAAGGCAGCAAGGTCATTGAGAGGTTGAAAAAGAAGCTGTCGGAGCAGGAATCCCTCCTGCTGCTGATGTCTCCCAACATGGCCTTCCGGGTGCACAATCGCAACGGCAAGGTGAGAGCACCCATCACCCCAGGGGCCAGAGGTCTGTGGGCTGGAGTCTGACTGCCCCTGCTCCTGCACAGAGAGGGTTTGTGGCCTCTAGTGCGTGTCCTCAGAGCGCTTTCCAAGCAGCACACACCTCACCCTTGCTGTGCCAAAGGTTATGATGGCATCCTATAAGGCTGTGACTAATTTGCATACAAGACTGGCATTTAAGAAATAACCATAGAAATGAATCCCCTGTCTCAGCACCAGTCCTGATGGAGCAATAGGAGCAGCCCTTCACATGAGATTCAGCCCTGCAGCAGCTTCCTTCTAGACTGTTTTGTGCTTCAAGGCGTGGCACACTCAGGGCAGTGTCCTCAGGGCTGCAGCTGCCCCTGCCAGGCTCCTCTGCCAGGGGTATTCCCTGCTCTGGCAGTGCTGTAACCTCTGCTGTAACTGTGGCAAAGGAGTCACAAAGGAGTGTGTTACTGCTCAGTGAAAAGCCATGAGCTGGTCGCTGCTTCCTGACTGTCACTGCTTCGTCAGTGTCTAGGCCTGTGCTGGAGGCTCTTGGCATTCCTGGTGCAGCTGAATTCCTATTGTGAGGAGTAGCAAAGCTGCCATGGGAGCTGCTGCAGGGCCACAGCTGCCCTTGGCAGGGTGGGGCTCTGCGAGCTCTGACTGTCTGTGTTGGTACCATGGGCACGTTGCCAGAGCCAGCCTGTCTTGACAGAGATGTGCAGGAAGAGGGGCAGGAGTGCAGCAGAACAGTCTGTCCAGCAATTTGCACTGGGGGAAGGTGGGAGTAGGCAGGCCCTGCCCTCAGTGGTGCATCAGACTAATGCATACCCTATGTTCTTCTGTGTTCCTGGGTAGAGTTACACATTCCTCATTTCATCGGACTATGAAAGGGCAGAGTGGAGGGAGAATATCCGGGAACAGCAGAAGAAATGTGAGTATCCCTCAGCTGTCATTGGTACAAATACTGTCATCTTAAGAGAGCAGGGCTCCAGAGGATGAGCTGTGGGACAGGCTTCCCTGCCAAACCAGAGATCTGCATTGAAGTCCACAGCACAATATGGATGTCTCCTGTCTGAGGCTGTTTGGGTAACTTCTGCTGCAGCAACATGTGAGGAGTGTGTAGAGAGCAGTTAGGAAGTAAACGTGTGTAGAGATTCTCCCATTTACCCTAGAGGTCAGAGCTCAGTGCAATTCCACAGAGAGGGAAGAGCCACACCCTTTTCCCTTCCTCCATTCAAAAGAAACTTAGTTACTTTTATGGCATGGTGTTTTTGGCTTTGCGAGGAACCAAGAACCCTCTATTTCCTGTGAACCATCCTAAGACTACTTGGACAAGAAACTAAATGTGTCCCCAGTAGAGCTGGGCTGCAGCAGCAGCAGGGATGCCCTGAGCACCTTGGTGCTGCTGCTGAGCAGTGCCCAGGGAGCTCTGTCCCATGTGCCCAGGATGAGGGGTCATGCATCCAGCCTCTCCTTGGAATTTTTACTTCTCCCTCTTTCAATCTCCATGGCAGGCTTTAAAAGCTTCTCACTCACATCAGTAGAGCTCCAGATGCTGACAAACTCCTGTGTGAAGCTTCAGACAGTGCACAACATTCCCCTCACTATCAATAAGGAAGGTAAGACCTTTGGATTTTGCTTTCACATGGTGTAGCTGCAGTGAAACTCTCCCCCTGCCTGATTTTGTGCTTTCCCCTAGAAGTGCTCCTACTGTTCCCTTTTGCTACAGGTTGCAGGCATCCTCCATTATACATTAATCAGCCATTAAATTGTCCTTGCATGCAGCTGTTGTGCAAGGTATTGGAGTGCCTGGTGGGGCCCTAGCCTGGAGCAGCCTTGAGCTATGTCTGAAAATCCTTTGCAACAGCACTAGTTGGCCAAAATTGTGTTGGGGGCCATCCTAAATTAATACATAATCTGCTAGTGTAGACTTAGCCTCTATAATTCACTTCTTCTCCTTTGAATTTCTTCCATGCTGTCTTACTGATCTTAGAACTGTCACTGTAAAGGCCCTCTGTGCCAGAAGATATTACAGGAGTCAACTGTGGAACAGTCTCCTGTCTTGCTGAAATGGTTGTTGCTTGCTCCTGCCATCCCTGGGGACAGTTCACCCTCTGCTCAACAATCTGTGTGATATCAGTCTCATCATTCTCACTCTTGGCTCCACTGTGAATGTAACAAAATCCCTTGGGTCTTTTGTACAGATGACGAATCCCCAGGTCTCTATGGATTCCTGAATGTCATTGTCCACTCTGCCACGGGATTCAAGCAAAGCTCAAGTGAGTTGCAGTTTTGGGGCACACAAGGGGTACTGATGGGGGTAGATAAGCCATGTGCTGGGACAGCTGGGTGTGGACTGCAGAATCTGTGGTGATGGTGAGGAGGAGAGGTGTTTTGGGGAACTCGAAGTTCCTACTCTTAACTCCCAAAAAGATCACCATCAAGGATTAAGCACACAGCCTTTGCTGTTAGGCCTGGTCTGTTTCAGCAGTGTTTGGTGATTATCCAGCTGTTCTAGAAACAAGTCAGCCCTTATCCTGAATTCTTTCAACTGTATTTTGTTTTGCAGTGAAAGAATGAAAGGTGTTCTCTGGCATCCAGAATTTTTGTTGGGAAGAAAGTGGTGTTAAAATTCAGGGGAATGACTTGACAGAATGCTCAAAAAAGGTGACAGAGCTTCCTAAGGGCAGCTGGGCTGATCAAAGCGATGAAATTTGTATGGAATATGTTACTGGTACTAATACAGAGATGACGGAAACTAAGGCACCTTGTACAAGTGATTATTGCAAGTTAGGAGATTCTAGATATTTTTTTTTTTTAAGTTTTTGTCCCTGTCTCTGCTCCTCAGATTTGTACTGCACATTAGAGGTTGATTCTTTTGGGTATTTTGTGAACAAGGCCAAAACTAGAGTTTACAGAGACACCACAGAGCCCAACTGGAACGAGGTAGGTTTGATTTTTCTTGATGTGACTTGTTCCATGTGCCAAACATCAACACATGACGGCAGAAGACCTGCCAATGAGGGAGGTTGCTGCATGCTCAGCACTTGTGCTGCACATGCTGCTTCTCAGAAAACACTTCTCTGCCAGGTTCATTTGGCTGTCAGGGCTTGCAGAAGGTTTTCTCTTGGATTAGCTGTAGTTAAACAGTTTGATACAAATTAGTCTTGTCCAGTATTTCATCTTTTAAACAGATGTATGTTTGATACTTGATAATTATTTTTTAAACACAAGTAAAAATATGTTGAAGGAGATGGTTTTGTTTATTTGTTGAGAGGGAGAAGAAGTAGCTATAGACATTTTGCCTGTTTACAGCCAGCTTAGACCTGCTGGTGAGCAAAATTTCTTACAAGGAAGGTGAGCACATTTGTGTCTTCGAATAATGCTTTGCTGAGACCTGTAAAACTAAGGAGTGAGCCATCTTAGTCTCCAATTTGACCACCTTATCGATACAAAGTACAATTTCAGCTTATTTCTAGACCAATTCCAGCAGGGAGGAGGTTTTGGCTAGTCCTTAAGTGTTCTTCTGATGAGTATTAAAGAGACTGTATTGATTATTCTGAGAGTGGTGTCCTGCTGTGATGCAGCCATTGCTCTTTCCTTTCCTGGTCCCCTGCAGGAGTTTGAGATTGAGCTGGAGGGCTCACAGACACTGCGGATTCTGTGCTATGAAAAGTGCTACAACAAAACCAAGCTCACCAAAGAGGATGGAGAGAGCACAGATCGCATCATGGGGAAAGGACAGATCCAGGTAAGACTGTGCTCAACTCATTCCTCATACCCTTACTGCAAAACATCACAGGACTTTTGAATCCTGCAGTTCACTGCAGAGGTTTCATCTGTTTTCTGAATATCTCAGCATTGAAGATTTTTCCCTCAGATAGTGAGGTATATACGCAGTGTGATTCACAGGCAGAAAATCAGCAGCTTTGTTCCTCTTGCTTTGTGCCCTATGTCTGCTCCATGGAATAGCTGCTTGTTTTGATCTCTCATTTGCCCATTGACTTCAAAACTTCCACACCACTGTATAGGAAGTGCCCCTGGCACTGGGCACTGGTGAAGATGCTTCATTTGTGACAGGAGGATGCAAGAATATTCTCCCTACTCTGGAAATCATGTGCAGAAAGGCTGCCATCTGTGTGTGCTGGAAGTTGATGGATGTGTTGGCCAGGCCCTGGGACAGCCTGCCTGTCCTAGTGACTGCCATGCCCAGTGTGTGGTGTCCATGGCAGCAGGCAGCATCTGAGAAACATTTCTATTGCTGGGAATTGGCCTGAGATACTTTGCATGGCAGATGTGTAATACAGCGGGGGAGGTGATGATTGCAAAGGGCTGCTGCTCTTGGGGAGCTGCTAAAGCTGTGTGCTCACTTTAGCTGTGATAGAGCACTAAAGCTGGATGTAGGAGAAATCAGGCCTTGTGTGGAGGAAAACATGGGCAACATATGTCCCCCATCCTGTTCTAGTTTGTTGCACTGTCTGGCCACAACTTCAGGAGGGTGTTTAAATGCCTGCTCTGAGGACACATCCTTTGTGTTGGAGTGACTGTTGAACAGAACAGGGTCCCGGCCCAGATACTTTTCCTTCCATGTCATGTTTAAAGATCTCACCAGTTGCCCTCCATTTAGGCCTGGCTGTTCATTTCCCTGTGGATGACAGCTTTCCCTGGGACTGGAGTGATGGTCATGCCATTTGTGGGATCGCAGGAGCAGCTCAGAGGGAGGGTGACCTGTGGGCTCACATCCCACCTTTGTTCTGGCAGGTTCAGTACCTAAATGCCTGATCAAAGCCATCTCCTGTTTTCAGGGAGAGCTTTTGTCTCAAATGCATGGTGGGATTTGAAGGGAGCTCGTGTGCAGATCAATAAATGCCAGCACAGGCTGGCTCCTGTGTGTGTGTCTCGGCTGGCCAGAAATCCCTATGTCCCTTCAGCTAACAAAGGCTATTTTCCACAGAGCTGAGCAACTACAAAAGAGCAAGTTTTCAGCCCTGAAATGCCCTGGAGATTTATGTGCTCATAGCAGAGAACCCTGAAATCACTGACCTGCTAAATTCTACAAATATGTTACACAGAAAGATTAAAAAAAAACCCCAAAAACCACCAAATAAAATCTTTTAAATTTTTGGCAATTTTTTTTTTTCTCACAGCTGTGGGTATTTTTATGCACAGCAATTGTATATTTTTGTAAATATATTTTATATTTAAGTAAATAAAAATACTCTTTGATGGCAATTAAATATTAATTGCATCTTGATTCTTTTAGAGAAGCCTAGACAGTGTGAAGGTTAAAAAAATCAATTAAAATGTTTTTAATCAATGTACAAATGTTGCATTCTGTTGTCTCATAAAAGGCAAATGCTAAAGCTCTCTTGTTTTCTGTAAATCCCCTTTGCAATTTCTAAAGAAACTTGATGAATTGCCAGAATAACTCCTTAATTTTCAGTGATTTCTGTCTCATCATGGATTTCAAACACTGTTGAATCAAAGAGAAATCATATGAATGTCTGTTAAGATTTTGGATTGATAAAAATTATTAAAGGTTTTGATTTTGGTTTAGTTCTATTTTTGAAGTTAACACCATTTCTCTGTTAAGAAACCATAATAATGCAATAATGAAATCTGATTACAGCCTGAAGGTTGGCTGTTCTCCCAGGTGCTTTTATATCAAATTTTGTTTACCTTAGAGTTTGTAGTTTATCCTGGGTTTCTGATTGCTGTTGCTCTGTCATTATTCAGCCCAAGTCTGTCTGTCGAAAGGTCTGTGAGGTTGGGTGAGGGGTTTTTTTTCATAAATTCCTTTTAGTTAAAAACTCTGGGAACATGAAGAGTCGTGTCTGCATCCTCCTGTTGATAAAAACAGAGAAGTTTCTCTTTTGGCCAAATTGCAGTGTATTGTTAAGCCATGTCTTATTGTAAATATTCAATTTCCCACTACTGGGAATTCTGACTCACCAAATACTCCGCCTCAGTGATGAAGACAATCAAGGAGACTAGGACTGTTTTGGCTGTAAAAATGTTTATTAAATCTCTCTGTTACATTATGGCAGTGAAGGAAGGAAGGCTGGAAATTGGTCCATGTCACAAGTTTCCAGGAATGGGAAGCAGTTTTAATAGCTCCCATTGCTCATATTTTCTTTTCCTATGGAATATTTTATTCGTCTGTCTTTACAGCCAGATGCAAGAGCTGCTTCTTTCCTGCCAGTCTGCAAGTTTTTTATCTCTGAAACATAAACCCATGAGGTTTTAGTGTAGGAGAACCTCCTGTAAATGTAGGAGTGAAGTCCTCACCAGACCTGGGCACAGCAGTGCTGGGTGTGCAGTGTTGAGCTGACTGGCACACATGGCTTGGGGCTTCTGTGCACCTCAGGCATGAGAAATACTATTCCTGAGTACACTGTGAAACTGAAATTGCTGGAGGAGGACAGAATGGAGATAACATGATGGGAGGAAATGTGAGGTTTAGTTCAGCTCTGGGCATAAGCCCCTCTCATTGTGAGCACCCTGGGCTTTTCTTTCTGTTGTTACCTTGCAGTCCATCTTTGGCACTTGGCTGGCCCTTTGGCTTCTTGAATTTTGCACTTCATGTGGCAGGCACATCTCCGTGTTTGGAGTGCAGCAGCCTTTTGTTTGGCATTGAGACTGTACCAGGTGGGCACATTTGTCAGCAGGACCAGCCTGGCCGTGGGAACTGTGAGTGCAGTGATACTTCACCCTGCGATCCAGCTCCTCCCACTGGTGCCTCCTAGAAATGCCGTTTCCTTTGCTGTTTTCTTTTTCTGCATGATCAGCTCAAGCTAAATATTTCCTTCTCCCTCACAGCAGTGCTGGAAAATCAGGGAGGATGTGACCTTAGATCACTCATTCTGTGCAGCAGCACCATTCCTCTGTTGCCTCGCAGAACAATCACTCTTATCTGAATTATCTGGGATGTCTCATAGCAGTGCCCATGGCTATTTCAGGCATTAGGTTGTTTTCCATGTAAACCAAAGTGTCCCATGCTGTACCTCCCAGATGTTAACTTGGAAACCTTTTACTCACTCAAGCTTGTTTAAACAGTTTGCTGAAGCAGAGCATTGTCCCAGCAATGAAAATAGGGGGGAAATGAGGAAGGCAATGGGTCATGGCTAAAGGGGGATGGTGGAAAAGATTAACCTGTCAGTGGGGAGCTGTGAGAAGAATGGGATTATGGCAGGACTGGGAGTTCCCAGCAGCAGTGAGACTCTGATAACATGTATGTCACATTAGTTACAGTTCAAATTTGATGGAGTGTAAAGTTGCCCAGGAAATTTAATAAAGGGAAGAAGTAATGTGAATGATACATAAAACACACTAACCTTAATGTTCCGCAGTCCATGGTCTTTCATTTCCACTGAGGCTTCTTTGGTTTTCCCTCCTTCTGCATGTTTTCTTTTCTCTCTGGGGAAAAGAAAATCATAATCAAGCTCTCTGTGGTAGTTTCCTAGGGCAGAGCATAGACACCCTTCCTAGTGCCTGGCTTGCATTTGCTTGAGAAGCATCCCCAGTTTGCCTTTCTCCAGGTTCTCACCACACTGCTGTGCACTCTCAGCCTTTGCTGACTGCTGTGCCCTGTCTGAATTCAGCTGAGCTGCTACGAGGACCAGAGACCTGTACTCAGAAACCCCTGTGGTGCTGAGCTGCTTTGTTCTGCTGTGTTTTGGGCAGGATACAGAGAGGTATTGGCTTGATTCATTAGTGAATTTGGGGTCATAGCTTGCCACTGCAAATACCAAAGGCCACAAGGGGACTGGAGGAAGCAACAAACAGGCAGAGTGGTTGGTTTGTATTTTTCTGTTCAGCATGAGCTTTTGGTGGGGACTGTGCAAAGAAGCCCATGCAGTGCAGTCTGTGAGGGTTTTAGCAGGTCTGTCCTATTTGCACAGAGCATGGAAACAACACAGTGGCTCTGCTTCAACAGAGATGGGGCAGGTCACTCAAACCAAGCAACTGTTTGGACGAACTGTGTAGAGGAGCAATAAATTCCACTGACAAATGCAGAGGCAGCAGCTGCACAGTGCCTCCCCTGCTTGAGCTGGCACAGCTTGCTCAGAGCTGCCTCCCTTTGCCATGCTGGCTGTGGATTGCATTTTTCTACTCAGTGTTCCTTCTTCCAGGTCACTGATCTCCAAATCAGGCCAGAAGACTGCATGGCCCCATTTGTCCTCTGTGTTGGAGCATCACTCTTGCTAGCTCATTGTCCTTAGTATGCTCTCTCCCTGCCTGCTCTAGCTGCCCTTTCCCTCTGTTGCTCTTGCTGGCCTCAGAAGGTCAGTCATCACTTGGGACCACGACTGAAGCTTGATTGAAATCCCAGTGACAGTTCTTGGTTTCCTGTTGACTCTGTTATGTCCTGCTGTGACTTATCAGACTGTTAGACCTGATCTTCCTGTCTCACTCAGTGTTGCTGAGAGTTTATTTAAGCTTTGCTCTTTTAATAGCTTCCATCAGTTTGCTTTGTTATTTAAAAAGCACCTTGGAGGAGTTTGGGGGTTTTTTCCCCTTAATTACTGTTGTTATTACCAGTGATTTATGCAGGGTTGGCTGGGTTAGCCAGCCCTGGTGCCTGTTCTCCCTGGCTGTCCCCATTCAGTACAAGGCATTCTCCAGCAGGAGTCTTAACAGTAGGAGGGAGTTCAGGGGGCCTGCCAGCTCTGCAGGAGAGTTCAGAAACAAGGGAGCAAGAGGCAGCAGCAGGTACATGGAGGTTTACTTGTGCTCCTGGCTCAGCCCCAGCAGTTATCCAGCAAGGAAACAGCTCTGTGAGCTCTCAGCTCCAGCAAGGAAAAGTCTGCGAGTTCTCAGCTCCAGCACTCTGCTTCTGCTTGTTCTTTGCAGCAGTGCCAAAGTTACTCTTGAGACAGAGCAGGATGGTGTTTGACTCATATTTTTTAACAACTATTTACTTAATTGTGTTTTGTGCCGTGGCAGGAATTCCCTGGTCATTGCTGAGACATACCCAGTAATACCTCTTAGCTTAAATAAACTATAACTGGATTCTGCTGGACTCTTCCTCTAAAGTTTTTGGCAAATATTCAAACCCTCTTTCCCCTTTAGTTTTAAACTATAAATAATATAACTCCCTGCTATAAATAATACACTCAGTGACTCTGTTCTAAAAGCGTACGGAAAACTGGTTCTCAGCAAGAGGATTGGCTGTGACTGTGTCCATCAGCAGGGCCATTTTGGCAGCTTAACCAGATGACTCCTCAGAGCTGGAGATCAAGCTTTCAGGAATACTTAGCATGGTTACTCCTCATAGGAAACCAGACATTTCAGAAATGGTTTCCTCTTGATTCTGGGAAAGAATTCAGTTGTTGAAAGAAATCAAACTTCCAGCACGGAAGTTCAGGGTAGAACAGCCTCGAAACTGGCCGGCTCGTAGGGCCCTTGGCCAGCCCCACAGGCGGGGCGGATCTGTTCTGCGGAGTTAAAAGCAAACCCCCTTGGCGAGCAGTCCTGTGTTTGGGGTCACTGAGGCACTGAAGCCAAGCACTGCTGCCCATCGGCCCCCTGGACCTTTGCACAGTCCCATAATGTGGGAGCTGCAGGTTACTGACAATTCTTTGCAAGGGCTCTTCAGGAATTTCTGCCAGCGTTGCACCTACAGGAGCCGGTCCAATTCGACAGGGAAGCATGTGTGTGCTGGCAGCATCCCACTGTGGGCTCACGTCCGTAACAGAGCACGCAGGGATAAGGTTGGCCTCGCTTGTTCTGTTGCTGCTTGGGGTTTCTGCAGTGGGAGGAACTTTGCTCTCTGTGCTTGCCTTTCTTTGGGGAGTGGGGAAGGTTAAGGTGGGGGCTTGTCTCTGTAGCTGTCAGCAGCACTGCGCTGCTCTGTTGATGATCTGAGTGCGACCATGACCATGTCTAAGCTCTCCCAGAATTTCCTGCAGCTGCCATTGTTCCAGCATTTCCCTCCCCTGCCAGAGCTCTCTGGCCCTGCATGGGGCTCTGTGGGAGGGGGGAGCTGTGCTGCAAAGCAGCTCTGGTTATGACTGCCTGTTGCTGACAGCAGCAAACTCTGTTTAGAGTTTGCTGCAGTTGCCTCCTCCTGGTCTTACTGTGCCTCCATGTTCAAGAGCCAAGTGTTACAAAGCTGTCTCAGGAGGCACTGAATTCTTGCTTTGGCTGGTTCCAATGGCGGATCAAACCCCCAGGGAGACAGCTCCTCCTCTCTCTTGCCAGTCTCCCTGAAGCTGAGTGCCACTCCTCAGCCCTTCGGATGTGTTTGGGCTCTCCCAAGGCAGTAGTGGAATTGCTGGGTGACATTCTAACACTTGAGTCAGCTGCTCCCCAGCCTCACAACTGTCCACTCAAGAGATCAAGCAAAGCTGAAAATGAGAGATTGGAACTTGTTTCTGTTTAATGAGTGTTTGCAATAGCAGGGCCCGGTCTTCTTCCTGCCTCTATGCTCAAATAGAAATGAAAAGGAATAGGCTGTTTGAAGGACAACTTTCCATGATTTCTCAGCAGATTCAAACATTGGTTGTGCTCCCTGAGGTTGCCTTTATTGTTGAGCAGACACTGCTCTCATATTGCTGGGTTTTCCATGTGTATGAACCCTCATTAGCCCATCATCAGCCCTGTTTAGAGAACTGTACAATATCCAAAACCTGGTTTCCTTGAAACCAGGGTAACTTTGGAGTGTGGGTTTTCCTATGGAAAAGAAATAAACAAGGTAAAAGTGATTGTGCTCTGCTCAGTTGCAGAAGCCTTCCAGGCTAGCTGGTTTCTCTGAAGTCTGTTCCTAGCTCATGGGTAACTTCTGTTTTCCAGCTGGACCCACAGGCACTGCAGGACAAAGATTGGCAGCGCACAGTCATCTCAATGAATGGGGTAAGTGTGGCAAACAGAAATTAGCTCTGCTTCTGTACCTCCTGTGGGCTGTATTTCCTTGCTCTTTATTGTAGCATGGGAAAAAAAAAAAGTTTACAAAGTAACAGCTGTTCTCTTTGGTTCAGGTGGAAGTGAAGCTGTCAGTGAAGTTCACCAGCCGGGAGTTCAGCCTGAAAAGGATGCCGTCCCGCAAGCAGACGGGCGTGTTTGGGGTCAAGATTGCTATTGTCACCAAGTGAGCTGATGGGTCACATTTCTCCCCACTTGAAACACATTTCTTGTGTTTCAGGAAGACAACTGGCCAGTGGGGTGCACTTGCCTGTGTCCGCCTCAAGGGTTTGGCAGTCCAGCCTGTTCCATTAATGTAGATGTGGCTGCAGACAGGAGATGCTTTACAATCTCTGAGCTTCATTTCTGCAGAGATAAAATCCAACGTGCACACAGGCTATTTACTGACAGCCTATCTTCTGAATTCCGGAAATCCCCCTTGCACTTGCCTTCTCTATAGTTAGCTGACATGGTCACAAATTTCCAGAGCCACTGAACAGTGATGTTTCCTTTCCATAATCAAAAATGTTCAAGGTCTTTGGATCCCATTGTATTATTTTAACCCCTGATCTTTTGTCATGAATCATTTGCCAGCAGAAATCTGTTTGTTCTGTTGTATGGTTTGGGAAGTGTGCTATTTCCTCCCCATGGTATTGCATCAGTTTGAAAGCAACAGAGTTGCTATGTATCCAAGGGCTGTTTGGGAATCCTCTGATTACCTGGGCAGAGTTCATAGGCTCTGGGGGCACTAGGACCTGGCCAAGCGCTCAAGTGCTCAGGGAGGCTGCAGAACAGCCAGAGCAAGGCTGAGACAGTCAGAAAACCCTCTCCAGTTTTAAAAGGAGCTCTTCAGCTCAATCCTGACTTCCTCAAACAGCTCAGACTTCCTCTCACCCCATTTTCCAGAAGAGGTTTGCACAGGAAAATGTCTGGGTGCTTGTGGCTGGGGAACAGGCATGGAGGGCCTGGGCTGAACTGAACTCTTCTGTCTGGCTTTCTTCAGGAGAGAGAGGTCGAAGGTGCCGTACATCGTGCGGCAGTGCGTGGAGGAGATCGAGCGGCGCGGGATGGAGGAGGTGGGGATCTACCGCGTCTCTGGGGTTGCAACCGACATCCAGGCTTTGAAAGCTGCCTTTGATGTCAGTAAGTATTTGGGTCTGATTTTTCCCTTTGCTCTCTGAGAACCTGCCTGAGCTCCCAGTCAGGTGGCTGTGCTATTTTTAATCTTACGTTGCCCAAGAAGCATTAAGAAGTAGAAATTCTCACTCAAGGAAAACAATTTTAACCCTAGCTGCATATTTTATTTACTGATCTAACCCAAGACATACAACAGGATGGATCCTTGTACCAAACAATGCTTTTTTTATTCTTCCCAGCAGACGTGAAATGATGGCTTTACCTGCCTTGCCAAATCTTTGTAAATGGCAGACACCTCTCTGGGAGAAAACATCAGCAATCAGAAGTCATAATTTCTTCACTGTTGTGAGGTGTCCAAATTAATAGAAGTCCTTAAA